GGATTTTTTTGTTTGGGAGGAGATAGGGTATGGACTCCATTAGCACCATTTTTATGTGTGCTTATTATATTGAAGTGTTTTTACATGATTATTGATACAGCACTAAAATGTGTATCAAATGGGAAGTATGAAGTGTTTTGATATGAGCATGAGTCATTAGGCTCTACTCATTAGATTAAGTTCTTTAAGCTCTTACTTAAGGCTTTCCAAGTTATCCAGGTGGTCAAATCATCAATTCAAGTAGCCTCTCTAACTCTCCATTACATACTTATGCTTCCCACCTAGAATTCTTCAAAGTTTTCTAAGCTTCCTACATAGTTTCATAACCTCTACCTAGTAATCATAACATATGTACTATGCCAATGAGATGAAGATGTTTCTTAACATAATTAAATGCATGAATGCTATGTATGCTTTGGCTATCACAATCTTCCCACCTTAATAAGTTTGTTCCGCCAAACTTGACTCATCTTGCCAAGGAAATAACTCTGGATACCTTTTCTTCATATCCTCCTCTGTTTCCTATGTGGCTCCTTGCCCTTAATGATCTTTCCATTCAACTTTTACCAACAGTATAAGCTTATTCCTCAATTGCTTGACTTGGTGTTATACAATTTGAATTGGTCGTTCTGCGTGGGACGGGCTGAGCTGGGCCGGGCCATTATTACATCCCTACAACAAACCAACATAAGTAATTGTATTAGAAAAGATAAGAAAAGTTATTTGATTCGAACATGAATTACAATGTGTGTGGTTATGTGTAATGTGTAGGTTTGAACGTTGTGGAAGAATATCGAACTAGTTGAGGTGAGCAATGTCTTTGTAAAGATATTTCTGTATTAATGGTTTTGAAAATGCTATATTGTGAAATCCATGTTGTGTTTACAAAATATTCAATTTGATAAGTATTTTTCGAAATGTTAAGTTATGCTATGGAATTTTGAAATGCTTATGATATGACAAGTTTTCTGAAAAATTATGTTTGATAAGAATGAATGAGATTCCCGTTTTGATTATCAAATATGACACCTATGAACATATGCTTTGATTTTCGGAAACCTCTATTATGTTTAAGTCGATCCATAGTGGTCGTTATGCATACGTTGACCTGTTGTGGTTGTTATGTCTAAGTCGATCCATTATGATTGTTATGTCTTTGTCAATCCATTGTGATCGTTATGTATATGTCAATCTATTGTGGTCGTTACGCCTATGTCCTCTGTCCATTGTGGTCATTTTGTTAATGCTCTGTTAAGTACTATTGGGATATACCACGTAACGTAATTAACTCTGAAAGGTTTGATGAACTTTATGTATTCTAAACATATATCTGAAAAATGCTTTGTTTGTGTTAAAAATGTTTTTCTTATTTATTTGGAACTCATTCATGTAACCCCTTTACATTAAGATTACTCATTAGGCTTCCAGGTCACTCCGTTTATATAAATGTATGTAGGTAAGCATTAGGAAGTTCAACAGTAGAGCTTGCTTTGTGTAGACACCCCATTTTTGATCGCCCTTAAGACTTAGGCGCCACTGATTGATCACTCGATGATGAAAGTTATGCTGTGCAAATATTCGATTTCTTCAGCAATAAGAGCTTCTAAATCCCAACCTTACACCCCATTTTAGACCAAAACTATTTTAGACCTTAAAACCCTCTCTTTCAAAATATTTTTGAAAATGTTTCTACGATGTTCCAAGGCTCGCATTTCATTAAAAAATGTATTTTTTGGTAAACCGAGCAAGGACAAAGTGAAAAGAAATGGAAGGGAGGTGAACTCTTTGAAAAATATTTTTAAACCTCTTATTTATAGGTTTAGAGTTGAAGAAAATTGGAGGAGAGAAAAGAAAACTAGTTGGGGAAATGTTTGAGCTTGAAACCGTTGAGAGAGAACTGAATAGCCTACACTAAATCGGGCCTATCTCTTTGTACACTTAGACTTTAGTTGTAAGGTCACCACCATTGGAAAGTGGACTTCCGGGGCTTCATTTGCGGACGGCAAGTCACCATTTCTGGCTGGTTGGCCAATGTAATAACCCGACCCTCGTATGTGTTTCTGGTATACTTTCGATCCCCTATTCTGTGCATTTAAATGCTTATTGTGAAATTTTATGTGAACTTGGGTTTAATTAAGTGAATCTTATGGTTATAGATTTATA